AAACGTGACTGGAATTTTAACTCTAATTTTGTGATTTTATATTTTTAAAAGACCAAACTCCTCCAATGTGGACAAATCAAGAACTGACGAGCTATGAGCTCTGTGGCCGTGAAAAAACTGTGAAACTGGTGATCCTTAAACGAAAGAGTAAAGATTAATTGGTTGTTTTCATTTTGAGACTAACATCATAGTCAGCTAGAGAATTTTTGTAAACACTTTTACACTGGAAAAGTCATCATACTAATTAAAACGATCATTAGTGGACATCTTCTATAGTCTATACCATCACGGCAAAGAAGAGCTCACGCCTCTACATATATATTCTTTCTCTGTCACGCCACATTTAAATAAATCGAGGTTTGTACTTTGTATTTACTTTGCTTTTCATCCAATTAACAACATCGACTTCATCTTCTAGGGCTTTAATGTTTGTTTTGACACGGCATTATTTGAGGTCATATAGGTCTCTAGGAGATGTTCAAGCCTAATTACCATGAGACGTTTAAACCATGAGTTGATTGTATCTTCTTTTGGATTTGATTGATGGCTTTTGATGGAAAATCGTTTAACGTTTGTCTGTGTTTTTAATACTTGAACTGTTGTTTTACTTTTGATTAAAAAAAAACAGAAAGAAAAAGAACAATTGTTTTACCTGCACACAAATATATATAAAGAAAAATATAAAATGTTAACCATGCTTTTACCTTTTCCTAATCCAAACTCATGTGATTTTAGATTTTCTATCACTTGAAGTCCAGAAGACTCCTAACGCTGTCAACATAAGATTTAAATCAACGATTCATATGCCATGAAAATATTTAGAGTTAAGTTAATTTTCTTTTTTTGATAAAATTAATATCATTTTCTCTTTGTTGTTAATAGGAAATTAAGACATAATTTCCTTATTTCATAAACTCAAATTTCCATTTTTGTGGATTTGATTTCCTATTTCAATTTTTAGATACTATAGATTAGTTTTTTTTAAAAATTTAAGGTCTTAATCATAAAAATATTTATCTATAATTGACCAATTACCGACAATTGTGTTATTCTTATTTTTAATGAAAAATAAATTGAAATACAGTGGTATATAGACATATAATTTTTTTTAAAATCAATATTTATAAGCCACATTAGCATTTTCATATATTTTACTAATAGAAATCCACAAATAATTTTCTTATTTCATAAACTTATAAGTTTAAAAAAAATTCATAA